TAACTTTGCGCCTTTCCTGGAACTCACTTGGTAGCCCAGGCTGGCCTCAAACTCACAGAGATCCGCCTGGCTCTGCCTCCCAAGTGCTGGGATTAAAGAGTGAGCCACCACCACCCAGCTTCATTTTGGTTTTTAGACTAGGTCTCTCTGTGTAGGTAGCTCAGTTTGGACTGAAAAAGGGTTATGTAGAGCAGACTGGTTTTGAACTCACCATCCTCCCCCTCCCCCTCCTGAGTGTTGTTATTCCCGCTGACACCCAGCTATCAGTCTAGTTTTTTGGACACAGTATGGTTTCCTTGCTGTCAGTGGCTGTTTCTGAGTTAACAGTAGCAGTTAGTTACTTTAAAATTCACTGGCTTACAGAACCCAAACAATATTTATTATCAGACGATTGAAGAAAATTAGCAGCCAGATGTGGTGGCATACACTTTTATTCTCAGCACTTGAGAGGCAGACGCAGGAAGAGTGCTTGATGTCCAGGGCCAGCCACAGCCACATTTACAAGACCCTGTCCTAAAAGGGTAGGTAGTTGCCTCCTGCTGTGATCTGGTGAGCCCTCCCTGCAGTGTATAGACAGTATGCTTACACACCTAATTGTGCTACATGCTTGTCTGAGTCATTGCCCCAGGTTCATCCAGGTGTCCATGTGTTCAAGAAAAAAGCCTTGTTCATATGTAGACTCTCTGCAAAACCCATGTCTAGGGATGAGGTGTATGATTCAGAGGTAGAACATCTGCAGAGTGTGCAAGGCCTTGGGTTCCATCCTCAGCTTTGGGGAAATACATACAGCGTGGACTATGAGCCCCTTCCCCTCTCTGGTTTTTCTCTTAGCCTTCATTCTGAGGGCTCCACATGTATGCATCACTATAGATAGAGCTCTTGCTTTGGAGTCTCAAATTGTTTTCTTATTTCCATTGACCACAGTTAGTCACACAAATTTCAGGGTGATAAAATACTCATATTGTCTTTTTCTAACATTCAAATATAAAACTCAAGATGAACATGTTAAGATACATCTGTGATCCTTGCACTTAGGAGGTGGAGGCAGGAGGATCAGGAATTCAAAGCCAGATTCAGCTGCAGTAGTTAGTTCGAGGTCAGCCTAGGCTGCATGAAACTTTGTCTCAGAAAACCATATATAGTAGTTGAGATGACTTAGTAGTTAAGGGTACTTACTACCCTACCAGAGGACCAGAGTTCTGATACAAGAACTCACATCAGGCAACGTACAAATGCCTGTAACTCCAGTGCCAAGAGACTTGATTCCTCTTGTATAATATTAGAGGGACCAGCCTTAATAGTATACATCCCGGGGGCTCAGGAGAAAGAACTAGGAACGGCGAGGACTATTTTCGGGAAATAGAATCTCAGCACACGGAGCTCTATAGTCCACTTGCTTTAATTCCTCTGACAAAACATCCTATCTACACAGCTTCAGTTCTGTTCTCATGTCTAGCTCCTTTCTTGTCTGATTTCTCTCTATATTTATCTATTGCTCCCCTCTAGGTTCTATCTTAATTCTCTGGTCTTAATTCTGCCTCATCGAGGTCCTTTTCATCTCGTTCCTACCCAGCTAGTACTTTCCCATCTGACTCTTCCTCATCTTCCATCTGGTCAAAATCCTCCTTATCCCTCTCCATTCCCCATTTCTCTGTTCTTTCAGTCTCCCCTAAGTCTCTCAGGAGTCCAGTTATAAACCCAAGCAATAGCAATCCCCTGGTCCAGCCAGGTCATCAGGCTTGAATTCTATGGGGTCATAAAGGCAGGTAAGAATTTCCTCAGGCAGTGACCACCAGGCTTTCTTTTACAATCCAAAACGGGAGTGGTGAAAGAGGAGGTCACCTGAGTGCTAATGACTGGTTAGTGTATCAAAAAGGGATCTATGTGCTCAGTCTACATTCCAAGAAGTGGTTAGGAAAGGAGTTAGGAGTCTGTTAGTAAGGTTGTATAGGAAAGGAGGACCTCACCCTAAATTGCACAAGAAATAAAGCTATCTGCCTGACCTAGGAAACGGGTATTGTTTTGTATGGCCTTGGATGCTTGATAGGCATTTTAGACAAATACACTGTTAGGAGTTCTTGGAAGCATACAAGAAAATCGTTTTAGGAACCAGCAATATATATACAACAGCTGAAATATCACCAAGACTCCTTAAGCTGTGGCTTGACCTTTGGAGAAGTCCTTGACTTTTCCAAGTAGTAGCTTTTGTGATAGTAGCTGAATTCCATTATGTTTTCCTGCGGCTTGCAGCAGATTCCCTCTTCTGGTCCCCATAGATGGGCTAATACATATAGACACACACATAAATAAAAAGTAAAATAGAGCTAGGCTGGGTGATAGTGGCACATACCTTTAATCTCAGCACTCAGGAGGCAGAGGCAGGTGGATCTCTGAGTTTGAGACCAGCCTGGTCTACAGAGTAAGTTCCAGAATAGCCAGGGCTACACAGAGAAATCCTGTCTTGGAAAAATAAGAACAAGAAAAATAAATATTTTAAAGAAAAACATATAGAGTGCTGAGATTTGCTGCATGTGCCTGGCAGCCTTATTTCAATACTTGGAACCCATGTAAAGGTGGAGGGAGAGAGCCGACAGAAGTGTCCTTTAACCTCCACATACATGCTATGGCATGTGTCATCTTACATTTATTAAAAATAAATAAGAGCACTTGTTGCTCTTGTGGAGGACCTGGGTTCCATTTCCAGCACCCACATGGTGCCTCACAGGCTGCCTGTAACTCCACTTCCAGGGATCCAGTGTCAGGCATGCACGCCGTGCACAGCCATACACGCAGGCAAAGCACTCATGCACGTAAACAACCCTTTTAGAAGTACACGGAGAACGCCTGGGGTGTAG